CTGGGTCAACGGGGGCGTAGGCGTGGGGGAGTGGGGGTCCAATCCAGGCCTGTAGTCCCGACAGACTACCAAACGAAGGGGTGAGGTGGGCGGTGGGCAGGGGCGGGCTGGGGAAGAGTCGGAGCAAGCAACGAAAAACATTGTAAGGGAAATAGAGGGGAATGTCAGGAACGACTACCGACTACCCGCACCACATCACAAATTGAAATGTACACAAAAAAGATGACAGTTTTAATTGCAAAACTATAGTCTCAAGCTCAACTAAAATTTTACTGAGTTTGGGCAGGTAAACTAGCCGTATACTCGTATCCCCTTTATACTGTTGAAGAACATTTTAGTTTTGCAGCATAAGCTGTGTGATACTTTTCGTTTTATTGCAGTTAAAGCTGTCATCTTGTTATACTACAGCTAGATTAGCAGACATACCGCACCTCGGCCTCGATGCTCGGCGCCGGCCCCACCAACCCTCCCTGCTCCGCAACCCCACCGGTCTCCGCCGAGCTGTTTAGCTTGGCATTTCCTTTGTGATATTATCAGATGAAAGGCGGCTTTGTGCGGCAAATCTCTTTATTTAGGGTGACTGCTTCGCAATTACACGGCGGGAGTTTCTATTTCAATACGATCCCGAGGCAGAACAAGCAGCCGAGCGGCTAGTTGAAGTTGACGCTGAGGCCGCCGAGGCGAAGACATGTTATTTCAAAGGAAACATAAGGTCTCCGGTCCGGGACATACTGGCAAAACAATGTGAATGTTTCTTCAGTTCACAGACTTTCCTTTGCCTTGTGGTGAAATAACATTTTAGCTTGGAAGCGCGTGCCGTTGGCCTCTCCTTTGTGATGTGAAGAAACGTTTGGAAGTCTGCAAAGGTGTCTACTCGACATTATTTTTTAATTAAGAATTACAAATCCTAGAAACGATGCGGTTGGATTTTCAATCCGATCTTCCGCTTTCACCCCCTTCAGCCCCATTCCCCTCCCTCCTCACCCTAATGTTCCACGTTCCACTAATACTAAGCCCACCAGGTAAAAGTCCATGTACGATATTTCATTTCGAGCGTTCTAAACCTTTCAATAGTATAAAATTACAGTCCTGTATATTTTTTTTTAGAGTTCATTGTAAAGGAGAACACGACACCTGCGACGTGGGACATGGCGGCAGGCGTAAAGGGACGGCGTACACTCGGTGGAAAACAAACTCCTGGAGGATAGGAGCGGCTTGTGGAGGTGGGATGGGCGGGTCGGAG